AGAGGACATAAGTATAGGCTAAGTGCCTCTCTTTACCCTCAATGAACTGAAGTCAGTGGTCTTGGAGACGCTACATCACAAGGCCCCTGGTCCAGACGGAGTATTATCTGAAATCCTTAAGGTCATAGCTGCGGAGAAGCCACACGTTTTTCTGGATACGATTAATGCATGCCTGCGCGTTGGACTGTTCAGTGACCCCTGAAAGATCCAAAGACTCGTCCTTTTGAATAAAGATAAACCACCCCTTCGGTCCCCTCGTCATTTTGATCCTTAGGCATGCTGGACATTTCTAGGAAAATGCTCGAAAGACTGATACGAACTCGCTTAAGAGAAAAGGTCAGCCCTCGGACAACCAGTACGGATTGTAAACGGGACATTTGACGGTCATGGCTATAGCTGAGACTTTTGAGTCAATTAGGAAGACATGGAAACCCTCACATAAGACGAGAAGTGTGTACGTCCTGGTAACTCTCGACGTCAAAAATGCCTTGAATTCGGCCAAATGCTCCAAAATAAAGAGACGGAATGTACCAAACAACGTTAGAACGTTACTGGACAGCTGCCTCCAGAATCGCATACTCCGATACAACACGAAAGTTCCTTACCCTTTTTCTTATGGGCGATTCCGATATTAGGATATTAGTTACTTATTATTTTTGTATAGATCGTAACTTATTTTTAATTTAAGTATTAATTTATTGTTTATTAATTATTTTGGCTTTGATTAAAAATTATATAAATAAATAAATTATTCTTTAATAAACTAATTCTTTGTAGTCCATACTTTTCTTTGAAACGTAGGAATGAGTATACTTCAGTAGATTCGCTTTCCTATGTATTCATCAATATTCATTTATTTATTATCAATTTTTTAGTTTTACGATTGTTTATACAATTTTTCAAAAATTTCCAAAATTTTTAAAACATCATTTTGTATTCCATGAATGATTAATTGATTTTTATTTCGTGTCACCCTTTTGTAATTTTTTTTTTTCGTGACTAAGGTGATTTTTTGACTTAAGGAAGTTCATTACAGTTAGCAGGGGAAAAGTTCAGAGAGGTGAAAGGAGCGCAAATATCTAGCAACGCTGGCAAATATTTTTCCCATATGGATATACTTACATACATGCTTTTACGCATACTCGACCTTTCCTTTGTTGTTTCATTTAAAAAAACAGCTTGCGAATCTATTTGAAAATTTAAAAGGTTTATTCATTAGTAAAGTTTCATAAAAACAAAAATTAGGAGGTTTCTATTACATAAATGCAATTTCATATTTCATATTTCAAGTATAAGCTCGATGTTTGAATAATATTTGTCAAAAAAACCTATGCGTGATGAACGTCTTGAAGGGACAATTACTGGCATGCAACAGTACCCTATGAAAGAAAGTGAAACTACAGGATGGTTTTACTTAACCTTTTACACAAAAATATGTTTTGAATTTAAAGTACAGACGATGAATGAGTGTGTGAGCGTATGTGACAGATATAAGCGTGATGTTAGAGTTGTAATCAGCGTAGGTGGTAGGAAATTATCTCAAAATCATTGGAAGATTTGATGAATGCGCTCAGTTTCGTACCAGCCAGCTTGGCAGCACATTGTGCCATGGCTTCAATATAAACTATTCTTATCTACATAATAAACTGTTTATAATTGTTTATTCACTAGAAATTGAAATATTTATCAAAGTCATACCTAATTAACATACATGTACTCATTCCAACGATGATTGCACAACCTCTTAATTTTTTTCAATCAGTTTCAAATTCTAAGAAAGGGATCATTTTATTGTTCAAGTCTGACGAAAGTCCAAGAATCTTATGTCTAGCATTAAAAAGTTTTTCTTAATTTACCAGGACCATTTGTAAAGAGAATTCAATCATTTCATTTGCAAATAGTATGAAGTATTCTCTTCTTACCATTATTAAAGTTGTTTTTAGCTATCTAGTTTCTTGTACCCTAGATTTGCTTTGGTGTTAGTATATTCAAGTATTTAGATTTTTGATTCTACAGTTTGCTTTACATGTAAAATAGCAGATTCGGGTATTTTCAAAACTGTGAGATGTATATTTGGCGCTCATAACTAAATTTCAGCGCATGCGTAGTAACAAGAAGTCGAGACGCTGCAGCGTCATAACTATTGCTTTTTCTTCTTCCCACGCAGTCAGTCTGTTAAAAACTAAAGCACCTTTTTTAATTTCCTTTTTTTGAAGCAATACTGGTTACTTAATTAAAAATTTGGCGCCTTAATCTTTCGTACCAATTAAGGTCGTATATGCGCTTGCAGTAGTAGCCAATCTGCACGATCCTATACCTAACTGAACCAGAAGCTCGCTGCTGCTGTAGTTGCAGTCAGTCGGTCTCGCAAGCCAGTTGAAGCAAGTCGCATAGCTCTAGTTTGTAATAGTTTTCACGTGTTCTGACATTAAACATCAATTTTTATTCAGAGAGTGTTTTTATTAGCAATATATTTCCCTGTTATCAAAAGTGTGCAGTGTATCTTTTTATACCTTTCTGACAATCTCATCTTCTCCCAAAACCAGCTTACACTCAATCATACAGTCCACCACGTGCTCGATTTCATCTATCATGAACACAGTTTGTCGACGCACTTGCTCTCGTCCGTTTTCTTTTTGCTAAAAGACAAGTCTTTGTATTACCTACTTTGTATTTTTTTATATTTTATTGTATTACATTCGAACCTCAAGATAGTAAAGATTGTGACTTCTTAAAATTTGTTTAATATTCGATTTTGATTCAAAGCAGAGTGGATCAGTGAATTCTTGTCTCACTGTCCTCACACCCACCTGTTCATCTAACACCAACGTTACTACTGAATATCCTAATTCTAAGGATAATTGCATCACCTTTCATACACCGTAGTGGATTATTTAATACATCATTTCGTAAAATTTTTATCTACATTTATATATTATCTGCCAGAAAAGTATTACATCATACTAAAATATCCAAACACCCATTGACTACTGGTTTCAATTAACTACGCTTTCACGTTACAGAAATAATCTCCGCAGTTGTATACATTAAATAAAGTGTGCAGTCTTTAGACTAGCCACTTCATAAAGAATTTTAGCAAAATGCCACTATGACATGCATAATGAATTTAATCCCATTTAGGTAGATTCTTACTTAACTATGTATAACGTCAGGTCAGTGATTTTTGAGTAAGCAAGAGCCTTTTTCAGCTACAGGGCAAGAAAAAACGTTTTTAGAAAAAAGTTTTTTTCGCTTGATTTTAAGTTGGTAATACATTTAAAATGGATACATAAAATTTTAATATTTCACATATAAGTATGACTGACTCAATGCGCTTCTTAATTCATAAGCTTATTATTAATTACATAAGCACCATGGACCAATAAATATGAGACATAACGCACGTCCTAAATATCAGGTAAATGAGATCAAATAGGTAATTATTGGAAAAAAATACAGCTCTAAAATCATTAAGCAAGGAACTTCTTAAAAAGTAAAAAAATCATGTTTAAAATAAGCGCTTTCAACCTGTGGACATACAGCAAGTTTTTAATTTTTAAGAAAAAATTATTGAAAAAGTGCCGTTAAACTTATGATGCAAAGCGTTTCTTAATTGATGAATTAATCACCAAAAACTATAGTATCGTGGACCAAATCGTTATTTGCTGTCCATCAAAATAATTATTATCATTGTTCTTAAAACATAAGAAATCTAATTTTATGCATCACTTTAATATCAACCGCAGTCAATGACTATTTATTGTCATTAAATATTTTATTATTAAAATCCTTTCTTATGACCATTTGCATGACACATAAAAATATACAGTAAAAAGTATAAGAATAGGTATAATATTCCCCACTTGCACGGTCCTATTAAATATTTTTGTATGAAGCTTTACATTGGTTTTGTATACATTTAAAACAATAAATTGAATTCGATCGTTTCACTTGGAAAATATGTAACCGTTCCACTCGATAAAAATAATGTCGTTTACCACATACCATATGCAAATTGCAACTGCTGTTATGTCAGTCAAACATCGAGAGCTTTACAATTAAGAATGGCAGAACATAAAAGAGACATATAGAAACAAAAGGATACATCTATACTATCACAACATAGCATTGAATTTACACACAACTTCAATTTTGATAAAATAATAATTTTAGACACAGAATAAAATTATAAAAAACGCCTGTTTTCCGAAATGTTAAACATACATTATTTTAATAATAATATTAATAGAAAACAAGATACAGAAAAATTAAGAAATTGTTACAAGTCTCTCGTTGAGTCAATTAAGAAAGGAGGCTAACTTGATGTACATGAGTTGAGGGCCCCTTCCATTTATGCTATTAGGAAAACATGATCTGCTTACGTATGTCATACAAGGAACTGCTTGGGATTCCTATTTGATTGTATTATGTGCATATATTGTGTCATTTAGGTATGTGTAGGGTATAAAAGCAAAGAAACTTGAAACTCTGACTACATTACGATTTTATATCCCCTTCGTAAGAGTCAGAGGTATACTATATACTTTACTTAATTTGCATTTATTGCATTTATCAAAACTTGTATTGTAAAGAATTTTTCTTATTACTCATAAATTTTTGTACCTGATGAGGGCCAGGATATTGTCCAAACGGCAAAAATGTCGTTTTGTTTTTTAATAAATACTAAATTTGACAGTACCATTATTGAACGTTATTTTAATTAAATTGTTTTTATTTAAAAAGATATAAGAATTGTCATATTTTGCTGATTCTTTTTTAATTTGATACGTAAAACTGTTAAGGATACATTTTTGCTATGCCTTAGGAGACCAAGGACAAGCATAGAAACATATTAAACATTAAACTAAAAATAATAAAAAGATAAACTAGATAACCTTTACTATAGTAATTGAGATTTTGTCATACGTATACAATCATTTAAGCACAATCATAGTAACAAAACTTCTTCGGAGTTGGAATCATACATTGTTTATACTTACTTCACCATAATTGAAAAATGAATAAAGAATCCTCCATAAAAATATTACAGGGCAAAGTATAATATTAACAATTCCGATCCATAGAATTTGTTTGGATAAAAAAGTTGCAAGTTCTTGGCGTTTGCTAGATTTTTTATAATCTTCTTGTAAATGCCAATTATTCTCAAATGGTGACCATGGACCCCCTATAATAAAAGAATATTTTAGACTGGCTAATCATATCATTTTAGACTTAAGTTAAAATTCTTACAAAAAAATAGCAGCTCCAAATTGTACTTTAATCCTTGAGTTAAAAAAATTACTTCTCCAAATAGTGGAACTTGAAATTTTAGTGGAAGAAGAGATTTATTAATCATTGCAACTAAGTAGTTTTTAAAGCGTAGTATTCTGTGATGAATATCTAATTCAGTTAGCTCTCTTTTGTGAATACACATTTCTTGTTCTTTTTGAACTTCTATAATTTTTTTCTGAACTTCATGCCACGTTAAATTATCTAAATCTGAATCAGTGATTTTTAAAGCTAAGTTGTAAAAGTTTTTTATATCCCAGTATTGGAAGACGTGACAAAAAAATTTAATAAGTCGAAAAAACCAAAATATACTAGCAAAAAGTACAGATGACCAAGTGATGAATCCCATACTAGTTATCCATTGTTCCAATGGTAAAAAAGCGTCTGAGAGTGAAGTTTTATTTTTGTTGACTCTAAGAAACATAAAGTTCGTTGTGCGATATTTTTGCTTTGAATTAGTTATAAAACAATACTGTCTTATTATTTTATTTCCATTAAAGCTCAAATTTTATAAGTAATATTTTTTTAACTGTTATTTGTGTTGAAAAAATGATTTACCAGAATAAGAATCTAGTCTATCCCCCAAATTCTATAGACTGCACTCCAAGATTAAAGTTCAAGTTATTTTAAACCTATTTAATTGTATTGAATTGCTTCTTCACCACGGATATAAAATGTAGCAAGCCTTTTGCGGCCTCGTAGCAAGCCTTTTCCTCGACCCCGACAAAAACTGCACTTTTTACCGTAGTCTGGACGAAGTCTATATACCCTTACCTTGAGTTGGGACGGAAACTATACCTTTTTCTTAGGCCCAGACGAAGACTATGCTGTTTCGTGATCCCGGAAGAAAACTACGCCTTTTTCTTGAGTCCAGACACAGACTACGACTTTTTTCTAAACTTGAAACTATATTTATTTATTTTCTTATTCTTGTGTTGTATATGATTCAAATACACCTAAGTTATAAGCAAAACAAACTTATGTTAATGGAAAGAGAATCCAAGTTCAACACTGTAAATTAAGGTATTTAAAACTAAGAACTTTAAGTATTTAATAGATAAAATAAAATGCTTTAAGTGTATAGATTTACACAGCAATACTTGTAAAAACATTTATAAGTAGAGAATTATTAAAAGCTTGAAGAAGAGGCCTAGCAAAGTTAGCACTGTGCCAGTCAAGGTCCTAGTAGTGCCAAAAAGACTATTTGCTTCGAAAATTCAATGCCTCTGCTTTTAAGAAAATTATAGAAAGTACTTTACTATGCTGTTAATGTATTTAATCATAAATATATTATTGATGCCTTTTTAATTTTTGTTAAAACAACTGATCTTCCACAGCACACTATCGCAAAATATTCTTGTATTCGTTTTAGAACAGAAAAAAATAATAATTTATACCAGGACGCAACAAGATATAGTTATCGTCCAAGCTAAATAAATGTAGTCTTTGTCTGGAAGTGAGAAAAGGGCATATTTTTCGTCTGGAATCGAAACAAAGGGCATATTCTTTGTCCAAAACCAAAAAAAGGGCATAGTTTTTGTCCGGACTAGAAAAAAGGGCATAGTCGTCTCCCAAGATGTTGAACGAGCATAGTTTTCGTCCGGGACCAAAAAGGGCCTAGTATTTGTCTAGAGCATCAATACGTTTACACATCTACACACAATTACACATTTTGGTATTCACTATACATATACATACATACATACAAACATACATTTATTAACGTATTTAACGAAGAACACCACAACTTAGTGTTACTGTTGACAGGAAACTTGGAATTGTGCTATCCTTCGTATAAGGTGTTACTTAATCAACATATACTGACGTTAATAATAAACCAGTAAGCTTGCGTCAAAGCCAAACTATACAGCTATACAAGCCCGATAATATTGTCTGCTTGCATATCTTTTTATCGATGAACCTACAGTTTTGTGATATCCTACATTATGTACTGAATATTTATTACTTTGTAACATCAGTTTGTAACCAACTAAGTTTCTGAGATATTTTTCGGTATAGTTTTAATAAATTCATAATTATCAACTAATTTGTTTATTGAAATAGGGAAACAACTATTGACCAACGTAAGCATGGGTATGCACCTCTATAGCACTGTCCCCCACAAACTCGATGTAGGAGTCATCAGGCAATATGCCGTCATCGTATACAAAGGCCGAATTCACGACGATTATTTCTCGACAAAATCTCCCATCTGATCGAGAGCTATTTAGAAATTAGGGTTTTACACTTGAGAAAAAAAATCAGTAAACACTTTTTTATTACATTATCTTGAATAGGGTAGTCGAAAGACTAATTCTTTCTTTTACCATGTAGAATTGCCTCCTTGCTTATTTTTTTGCTAAGTCAGTTTACTTTGTAGCAAATTTCGAAAAACATTTATTGAAATAAAAAACTCTACAGTATTCTTGTCTGAAAAATTAATTTTGAAAGTTTGATGAGCAAACTAAACAAAAATTAAGGAAATTCGAGATTACTCAGTTAAAGTGATAAAATAAAATCTTAATAATAACAGCTACTTATAAGAACAGCATGGTATATTATAAAATTATAAGGTTACCGTATGGTCTGATTACGATCAGAGCTGTGCACTTTGTTTTGATGTTGGCTAACTGACTTTTTCCTAAAAAGAGCTACTGTTAGAAAATTTAGACAGCAAGTGCGCTCAAGCGCTTATATCCTGACACCAATTTGTGCTAATACCATAAGAATGTACACTTTAAATAAGAGAGAATAATAACTTTAGGCTTCTACTATTTTACGCCTTCTAACTTCCGATGTGCCTTCAAGAAATGTGGGGTTTGACAATCACAATCAGCTAAGCTGTTATGTTTCAGCACAATCGTAAGTACTTGATACTGTGAGCGATTCAACAGCGTTCACAATGTAAAATACTTTTTAAGCAAACCGAAGTTTTCGATTCCATGGCAACTTTAAGCAGTGTAAAGAGGGTGTGATTAATTAAAATTTTAAAACTCTATGAGGTAAAGGTGTAGAGAAGGAAAATTAAAACGTCATCTATTAAATTAAGGTATTCAATTTAATAGCAGTCCTCTCATAACCTTTGGCACGAGCTCTTTCGTGTACAACAAACGATATCGTTGCAGTCAACTGTAAAATATCTTGCAAGTGCAACCAACAACTAACCAAATATTTTAAAAGTAACTGAAGTTAAGAAGAAATCACAATTAATAGTAAAGTCTTGAGCGAAAACTTGTAGTTCTTGTTGTTCAACAAGATTTTATTGCACAACATAAAACTAAGCTCTTAATAGCTTTTTTTTTTTAGAAACCATTAATTATATTGAGTTATTACACTTTGCAGTTACAAAATTACTATTACGTTATCAAAATCAAATTTTATGGAAAATAATACAATAATGTGAGTTACATTAACTAACTGTTGTCTTACAACAGCGTTCCACACAGAATGCATTTGCCATCTTACTACCGAGACATTCTCGCAGTAGGCAAATAAAATAAATTACAAAGATGTGTGACGAAATATGAACTTAATAAGCAATGTGCGTACTACATAAGATGAAAATCAATACATATATATAGATGTACCACAGATCAGTCATCAGTATGCCGTTAGATATATTATCGATTTTGTACTTTCTTAACTTGATAAAACTTGATTTTACAACGTCGAAGAATCAATAAACTTTAAAAGAAATCGTAGTGCCAATAAAAGCAAACAATGCTTTAGGGCTTGGAGCCAGTTCTAAACGAACAAGAATAAATTATCTGTCGTTATCTGTAAGTAGAACTAATCTGCAAGTTCAGCCATTTACTTAGGAGTTTTAACAGTTTCATAGCTAATGCAGTATTTAGAGCATACACATGCTCTTCCAGCATAAGTGGTCTTCCATTACATATAATGCCCTATACAGCTTGACCTAGCAGAGCACATCACGCAAGCTACGATCCTCTCTTTCACACAACCTGCAATTTGGCGAGGCATTTTACGTTATTTCTTAACTAGCACTTGCATGGCTCTCAAATATCGTTAGAGAAATAGGCTAAAGGCCATAACTGTTCGTCACTTATTAACTCTACCAAATGTACCAAGCACCTACCATATTTTGACTCGACGTAACGATACTATCTGCCTGATTGAAGGCTTTGTTGGTCATCTAGGCATGGAAAAGGTGTGGGCTCACATACACAACAATGATACCACCAGCAAGCTCTGATATTATCAACTGTGTGGTCAGCCCTCTTGCTGCTTTGCTCAGCTATGCATACGGCGAGGGTCTGCCAGCACGGCGAAGTGTTGGCAAGGGCCCTACTTTCAGCCACAAAAAACGACAGAGATAGCCTCTCATGGCAGATGGTGGTCATTGTCGTTATGTGTGTGTATTCGTACCATGCGCCTATATGTATGTCTTATAGCCAGCGTCGGAAACTTAGCATTCGGTGTCTAGAAGGCTTACGTGTAACTAGTAGCAAGCCCATTGCAGCAGGGGCGGGGTCATTAGGACATACGAGGGAGCCAAGCAATTCTCTGCGGAGACTTATCGCGCAGGTGACTCTTTTTTCGTAAAAGCCATGTACAGCAATAGTATATACTTACTAGATTCTCCACGAAGACCACACGTTTTGGGTGAGCTTGTGACATCAAGTTGCTGTGTCACGACTAACATGCATACAGACGTCTTAACAGCCAGATGGACAAGATAATTAATAGGTAGATAAAAGAAAAAGAAGAGAAGATCTATGAGTATTAAGACGTACTCTATTGTTTATAATGCTTCTGTTGCTGCGATACATCGTATGAACTTAAAAAGTATATATCTTTCTATATTATGTAGTTGTTGAGATAGGACTTCCCCTTTGCACCCACTGCCAGACCCATTCACACTTTACTACCCTACACCGATTCCCCACGAAATCAGAGAATATTCATTGATTTCTTTCTGAACTTTACCAAATTTAATTATACCTACAACTCCACTAAGTTCCATCTAGCTTCAGTACAACTGTAGGTACTACGAACGGCTACCTTAATGAAAAGTAAAGGAAAATTCTATGGATTTGACCATTATTTAAACTCAGTAATAGTTTTTGTTATTTTTTATGGTCCCCCACGATGCATTGCACTACCAATTACCGCAATCAAAGACCTCCAGCCTACCCACTACTATCCTCCCCAGAACTATATTTACAACCCTTGTCACCACTTCATTAGTCCTGCAAAATTAGAAAGAATTTGTTACACTCGTATCTTATTTTAGATCAATAAAATTTTTGTCAATTTAAGCCCCCCACTTAACGTCATGTGTTAAAGACTACTGTTGTTCCTCCGTTGCATATAACTATCGATTGGTTTTACATCAACCAGGAGACGAAGAGATTCATTTTATACTTATTAAGGGAAAACCTAGACCTTA